TGCGAAATCCTGGCACCACCTTTGTCCTGTAGTTCGAAGAGGTCTGGGCCAAAAGGGAGGGTTGCATTTCAGAAGATGTGTCCAGCCAGCATTGCCAAGCTTCTGGTGGACTTTGATGTGAATCCTCGTCAACACGAGAGTTGCCATGTTGTAGGTGGCTGGGTTATGCCGCAAGACACCTCATGATCCTGAATGGAACGTATTTTTGGAGCAGGCATTGCTTGCTGGCTCGAGCAGGGTTCCTTGGATTTCAAGGTGGTCACCTCTGACGATGCAAAGATCGGAATGGTTCGGAAGTTTGTAACAATTAGCCTTGGACAACAGCTCGTCAATGAGCAGAAGCTACATCTTGAAAGCTTAATTTGAGTTCCTTAAATCCCTCTATTTCCCCAGTTTCCATTTCATTGTCCATTTGTAGGGGGATAATATAGTAACTTCATATTACCCCCAATATACACCTGAATATAATGTAGTCGTTTCCATTTTCTTTTCCATTATCCCTATATAGCCCCTATTTATACCCTATAATCCCTATATAACCCCTATATAATCCCTGTAGTTTCCATCTTATTTTCCACTATCCCTATATAGCCCCTATATTACCTTATCAAACTTCATCAGAACCCTGTGGAGTTGGTGGTGCCATGAGCCAAGCGGCCTTCCGAGCAGATGGCCGTCGCAAGAAGCGAAGGTCTGCTGGACTTCTGTTGGGGTTATATAGGGGTATAAACTAGGGATATAATATAGGGAGAATGGAAAAGAATATGGAAACTATTATTTAGGGTTTAGGAAGGGCGGCAAGCAGCTCCCAATTTGTGATAGTGAGGCAGTTGATCTTTAGGATATTCCGTTGTGGGGCGTGTTGAACCCTTGGAGATGACAGAACCTGCCAACGAAGAGTAGGCCTGAACCTACACTCTAAACCCTTCGCTCAATTTTGGAGCCTTCGAAGAAAAGCCCCAAAATGGCTTGGTGCCCGACTCCAAACAGAAGCTCGGATCCAGGAGTTTCGCAGCTGCAGCTTTGGCAGGCTTCTCATGGACGTATACGCCAGCGTATGCAGGATGGTCCAAACTGTTCCAGGTTTGAGAAGGGACGGTTTGGGACTCGGTATGACTTGCTTGATTCATGCTTCTTATGTAGATAGCTGTATCACACGTTGTCCGTGATGGGGTTGGTGGAAGGCTTGTAGGAGTTGGCTCCACGGCTACCATGGCTTGATGCCTTGTGGTACACTGCAAACTTCTGTAACTCCTAGGACTCCAGGGTATGGGGTATGTTAGCCGGTGCCAGATTTCCTCCATCCAGTGTGCCTGGATGAGGACCTGAGAGCTTGCTGGCGTTACGCAGGAAGTTCTTCCAGGCACAAGCCCTGGATGTGCTGCCAAAGCCAGGTGGGACTTGGAATGAGCGCGTGTAGAGCTTAGAGGTTGGGATCAGAATCATGGCTTGGAGTTCAGGAATCGTTGTTTGGGGGACTCACGACTTGGGGTTTTGGAGGGTGCCTTGCAATTTTGGGTGCTTGGTTGCGGAGGATCCCATGCTAAAGGTAAAGAGGTCCCCCTTGCTACCAAGCTAGGTGTGTTGGCTCCATGGACAGACGTCGAGTGCCTTGTCCTTGTAGCAATGGTGCGTCATGAGTAGCCACGTGCTTGGATGATCTTCTGCATGAAGTGGGTGGCTGTGTCGGTGCGGAGCAACATGTTCCAGCCAGATGTCATGCCTTTATTTTTCCTAAAGCTGTGTGGCAATGAGAAATCGCTGGGGCACAGAGGGAACAGGCTTGCAGGTTTCCAAAGGCCCTCCTCGCCGAGGCGTGTTTTCACAATTGTGCCCCACCAGTTGCGGCGAGACGTTGAGCAGTTGGAGTACCTAGCGTCAAAGGAGGCGTCAGCGGCTCTTGGCGGTTGGCAGTTTCCCTCCTTTGGATCCTAAGCCTGGCAGAACTGCGGATTTCTATGTTTGCTTGATAGATTTGTGAGGATCTGTGAGCCAGCAATCATGTGTCGCTTCTGGCAGCAAGCATCCAAGCAGGACTTGCTCCGACAGCTCATTATCAGGACCTTGTCTTAGGATGTCCTCGGATACCGTGCCAGCACCCTGCAAGGTGCTCGGCCCGGAGCTCCAGCATTTCCTACAAGAGCTGGCACTGCCGGAGTACCGTGGCTCGCTTGCTTTGAAATTGAATGGAATCATAAAGCTTTTAGAAGGGTTTCAATAAGCATCTTCGTAGCCCCCCGAACCCTCCGTTTCAACTGCAAAGCTTAGGCCCAGAACGGAAGCCTGAAGCACAAAATCCAAGGGCGGCTGCTCCTTCACGTTCTGGTGGCAACAGCGGGCCGAGATGCCTTTATCGAAACACATCCGCAGCCGCAGCGGCTTTGCTTACATTTCTTTGGTCAGCCTGCTAGGGCGTCTAAATTCCGGGCAATGTTTGTGGCATCTAGCTGTGTATGACCTTGCACGTGGGAGAGGTGGCTCAGTTCTATATGCTGGCAATTAGTCTGAGTTAGCGTTGTTCTATCCTTCTGTTGTTGAAGAGTGTATCAGACGGTCCTGGTCCTTCTGGTGTTTTCGCCTAGGCTTCCGCGTAGCATCGGGATGATCCCAGGGAAGAGCAACTGCTTTCCTCCACACCCGAACAAAAGAAAGGTGTCTCAGTATGATCAGTCCTGCTTTTGAGATTGTTATCGTTCTAGTACGATAGCAGTTTGCAAATTCGACTTGTGCCATCAGAACCATTTGGCAAGCTGTGAGGTTGAAACAAAACACCAGATCTCGCTGGCCTAGAATGTCTGTACCCTGCCATCCTAAAAGCAGTTCCACAAAGAACCTAATTCTGCTTCAAACTTTAAAGTCGCAAAGCCATATCCCTGCTTGTCTGGCTGGCTGCCGACTGCAGTGAATAGAAGGCTGCAACCCCTCTCGAGGACTCTTGAACCATGAGTAATCCTCGCACTCTACAGTCAGACACCGCATTCCCAAGTCTGAGTCTGCACCACTGCAGGTTTGCGTTGTACTTCGCCCTGCAGGGGCGGGCTCTGCATGTGCATCTAAGCTGATGTGCGGCTTTCTCTGAGTTGGGTACATGGCAAGGCTTCGATTGCAGTGCTTGTGTGGGCTTGCTGTGGTCTCCTTTGTCATTGTAGATGGTGGCCATACTTTTGACAATAATCATGCATTGTTGGAGTAAAGGATGGCTCAGCCCTGACCCTGCTCGCTTTGTTGGCCTATTGGCCCAGACAGACTACACTTTCACCCTTATAAGACAGTTTAGCCCTAAACATAAATCGTGAAACTTGAGGCCTGAAACCCTAAACCCTAAAGCCCTAAACCCTAACAACTTTAACCCTAAACCGGGTCCCTCAGGCACGCCGGCCACCGCATCCCTGGTGCCACGGTAGCCGCAGATTTGAAGCCCTGGGGCTGCACCAGAAAACTGGGCCATTGTTGTATCCTGGTGTTTAGGGGTTAGGGTTTAGAGTTTAGGGGTTAGGGTGTAGGGTTATTTTGGGATTATATAGGGGTAATGGAAAAGAAAATGGAAGCTACTATTTCGGGTTTAGAGAGCTTCGGGATAATTACTAAGAGCGGAGAACCAAAGGGAAAAGAACATGGAACATTACATGGGTTCTATGGATTATAGTATCTTGGGTGTATATTGGAAACTACCCTTTATTCATATGCCGAAACCCAAGAAGTAGTCTACAATTAGCAATGAAAGTTCTTGGTATTCCAAGCAGGAACAGGAAAAGTTGCAGAGATGCTCCTCGCTTCGAGCCGAAGGTTGCGATGAGTTTAGGGTGCCCAAAACTTGAGATATCCTGGCAATGCTAGGGGAAACAAAAGAGACAGAAAGGAGATTACGAGGGTCCCTTCCTCGGGTTTTGATAGATGTTACCTTGAGCCGGATGAACAGTTCCAATTCAGGGTGTCCTGCCAGCTTAGGGTTTGGATTTTCCGGTTCTCACGGCTTGGATTTCAGCCCGATTTGGCTGCAAAAAGCACATGCTCAAAGCATGAGTGTGATCGCAACTCAAGACGAGAAGCCCGCAAGCTTGAAAAGCAGGAGGGTCTAGAAAGCATGTGTTCGATGATGTTCTGAGGTCAGTTCACGAGGACAGAGGGTTCTGTCCTTGAAGCATTGGGCAAGGACATGGAGCATTGCAGGTGCACCCCCTTTACGTGTTTTTATGCTGAAAACATGTGCTTCCCTCATCTTATTTCGTCCCACCAGCCTTGAAGGCGTGTGTCTTCACAGTTGAGTTCAGCCGCAAACATGTAACCTGTTGTCTGTCGTCAGGATAAGCAATGTTTGGAATGGCCATCCGGAAATGGCCTGCCTTTGGGAGGAGCTTCTGAGCAAAGACCACCGCGTGTGCGTGGTGGATGACTTCTTCACACCGGAGGCTAGATGCGTAGCAGGCTTTGCTGGGGCAAGATGTTATTCTCCCATTTATTCTTTATCCGAATATAGAGAGCAGACATGTTCAAAGTCAACTACCATAATGCTCCGGAGATTTCTGGAAGTGAGGGCTCCTGCCTCATAGGAGTTTCTTCTGAAGAGAATGCAACGCGGGGCCATTATTCTGTCTCATACCCGGATTCTTGTTTGCGGGCCTTGTCTTAGGTTTGATGATTGGTTAGTGCTCGCCCTGATTGTAATTCGATTGTGATCCGTAGCTTTGGTGAAGTCGCTGTCCGACCGACTATCTAGAACTTGCTGTAGCGCATCTCTAGATGTGTTTCCAGAGGACATACGGTTTCGGTTCAGATTTGAATGCTTCATCCCTAAGTTTGAGATAGCTTTTGCCTCATAGGAATTCGCTCAGGCGTTGCAAGCGCTCCAGGACTACCTGCTGGAATCTACGATTTGGTCTCAGGCAGGGCTTGTCTGGAGTTGGTCGCAGCCCAAAGTTCCAGGACTCCAAACCACGTTTTCAATTGGCTGAAACAGACGGAGCCAGGGGTGAGGCCTGTTTCATTCTGGCAAAGCAGCCATGGGTCCCTGGGAGAACAAGCAGTTGGCCATGCTATTCTTGGACATGGTTGGGAGTGGTAACCTAGCCACGCTTCTTGCATTTCCACGCTTACACGGTAAGCGTAGCTAAGCCCATGCCTTAAATCCTCCCCAGCTTGAATTAGAAGTCCTAAGCCCCAACAGCATTGGGGCCAGAATCAGATGCTCTGCAAAAGTGGTGATGGAGCAGTTTCCCCATCAGCAGTTTACGCTTCGGAAAGCTGCTTTCTTGGAATCTGACTCCCGCGCACCCCAAGCCCGAAACCCTGAACGCAAAACCCAGAACCGGTGCCTTTGAGTTTAGGATTTTTGAGCCTTGGAGGTCAAGTTCGGCCATGTGGGTGGCTCAGCGGAGATCGGATGGGGCTAGGCATTCCAGAGAACCCACACACTGCGCTTGAGGCATGTCGAGATCTGGGATCTGCGGGGATTGGGGGCAAGGATTTGGGTTCAGCACGTTGGTATTGACTTTAGGGATTAAAGATGACTCGAGGGCCTCTTGAGCGTAAAGAAATCCTGGGTCCTCTGGCTGCCTTAGCTAAAACCAGAGTAGCCCCGTTGTAGGCCTGAATTGTACGATGCTATCACTGGCGGAGCGTGAGGCGAGTTCTACACACATGTCACTCGCCTTTTCGGGAAAAGATGATTCAGACATTAAGGCATTCGGCAAACTCGTGAACTTGCAGCGAATGCCAACCAGCATTCCTGGTCCACGATTTTCTTGTTTTGGGCAGGGCCCAATCGCCATTGCAGTCCCTAGACCCGCGCTCACAAGTCCAAACCACGAAACCTCAAAACACCCAGGCACCTACTTGGACACTGGCTTTGCATCCGAGCTTGTCAGCCAAATCGATGAGGAGCTGAGGCGGTGTGCTGGGCAGTTGTGTCAGGTTTTTGTGTGTGGGCTTCAGATTCGGTTTGGAGAAGTGAGGGGTAGGGTAGAGCTCCGCACGGTGTCCTGGAGTCTTCCGCTCGTATATTTAGATTGCTATACCGTTGGCTGTACTTAGCTCATTGTTTGGCCAACACTCTTGAAAGGCTAAACGTCATCACAGCAGCTTGTAAGAGGCTTTTGAAACATACATGGACCGAAGATTCCAGAGTCTTGAACCCGCGAGCTTGGGTCGACAGTTGTCCTGAAAAGATAGTAGATTTCGAGTGCCTGTCAGTAGCCACACGGAATACCTTCTTGATCCTTCCCAGGGTTCAAAAGCGCGATGGCATGACCACCTCTTTTGCTAGGCAGCAGTTGCCTACCCTGAAGGGCAAGGAATTGCACAATGCTACCAGGCATCAAGTTTGACATCTGAAGTGTGTGGGGCCATTGGATCTTGATATCAAGGTTTTTATGCGTCAGTATATTTCTTCGGCCTGATCTTCAGAAGACCTCCTTCCTCCGTGCCGGAATATTCTTAGCTTCAGCTCTACAAGTATCCAGTGATCTGAGGCCTGGGCCTACATGTATGACGGCTCACTGGGGGGCATTGACACTCACGCGGACGACTGCCAAGTGCAGATCAACTTCTTCATTTCGCCCTCTTCCGCCAATCTCTGGTCAGAAGATGACTCTCTGCCCTCCGGCGGCCTTGTCCTATATGGTGTGGGACCTCCTGCAGACTGGAAGTACAGTGACTACAATAGCATCGTGCAGAATCCACGAATTGACGAGATTCTGCAGACAACAAACTACTGGAATGTGACCATTCCTTACTTGGAGAACCGGGCAGTTCTTTTCGACTCGACCTATTTCCACAAAACAGATTGCATGCGATTCAAGAAGGGCTACAAGAATCGTCGCATCAATGATCCTCGGCTATGGCACACGTGTTTGTTGGACTTTGAGTCCCATAGGTGCAAGTGAACGAAGCAGCAGAAGCTGTAAGATTCCAGGCACGGCTCCCATGGTATTGTTTAGCTTCAATCTAAAGTCATCGAAAGACCATTTCTGTACTGTCGAGCTACAGCAACACCCAACAAAAAGGTTTAGGGTTCAGGGTTTGGGGTTTAAGGCAACCCTCACCCCCGTATTCTTACAATCATTACTATTACTATCAAAACTATTGTGATTATAATTTGTATGTTTAGTTGTTAAAATTTTGCTGAGGTGACCTTCCTCTACGGCCGCCGCTCAGCCCTTGTCCCACGGCCGGGCCTTGAGGAGGTGGCTGCAGAGGGTGGCGTGCCTGAGGAACATGGCAAACTTCAGGCCAGGTGTTCTGGATTCTTGCATAGGGTTTGGGGTTTAGGGTTTAGGATTGAGGGTTTAGGGCCCTCCCTCCAATAATCTAATAAAAGCTATTTCCGTGGATGTGCAATGGTATTATTTTGGGGAGTCTATTCTTGGGGGTGGGTAGTGGGGGATTTCAGTTTGGAGTTGGGGAATGGGTAATAGAGACTGTCTCAGAGGCTTCTATAATCCTAATCCCTAAACCCTATTATAATCCCTAAACCCTAAACCCCAAACCCTACATATCCCTATATAACCCTATATCAAGCATGGGTATGGATTTGGGCCCTGGAGTTGAATATTTTTGCAAGGGTTCTGGGCACAGGGGTATGCTGGATATTCCAGGATCAAGAGGGTCAAGGCAGGATCCCGGGCAGGTATGAAGCTGAAAGTGGCACTGCTTTGAGGCTTAGATTCTCTGGTCTTGGATTCAAAATTTTGGGATTCCAAGTTCACAAAAGAGCTTAGCCTGACAATTTCTGACGGGTGCTTCCTGCTCTGAACCCCAGAATCCTGATTTTCGGCCTGGGGATGTCTTGGCGATTTCGGGTTGTCACGTCTGCTTCCGGTTCAGGTTTCACAGGGGCAAGAACTGTGCCTGGCCCAGCACTTCAACAGATTCCGATTCCAGTCCAAAACCGAAAAACTCGTTACGAGAGTGTCTGACAATGTCTATGCCGTTTTGAAAATATTGCCGAATTGTACGAATTCCGAAGGAAGTTTAACAGTGCCCTTGTTGTGGGAACCTTGGCAGAGTATCTCTGGAAGGCACGTCGAGAGCACTATTTCCGAGCTGGGCATGTGACCCTGGACGATGAGGCGCTACTCCGTTGATGCCAACTTCCAAGTTATTGGCGTCCAAACTGCAGACAGTCTCCCATGCATCCACAACCCCCTGCCATGTAACGCAGGGCTGATCAGTTACCGAAGTGATTGCAACATGATATCTCTCGCATACGACCTGAAAGGACTGGCTTTCAGATTCAAGCAGTTCCAAAATATGAATCGAGCTACCATGTGGCGTTACTGCGCGATTTTTCCTGCACCATAAGTTTACCAACTTCGAGAGAGCACAAGGCTTCGCCTCGCACCATCCGACAATGACTTCCATAAAACTTTGAGTTCTGGTTGCCTCAGAGTCTTAGATTTCAGGTCTCCTTTCTAGTAAGTTGGTCGAGTGAGATCTTTTCGTTTGATAAATGGCCGTAGCTGTCTGCAAACTTCTCCGTGCAGGACTGGCGAAGGCTGAGTGCGGCAGTTGAGCGCCGAATCAGGCGCAAAGGCCAGGAGCAGGAGAAAAAGCGCTCTCAGGTTTCAGCCATGGCAAGTCAGAGGGGTTGGAGTGGTGTGGAAGGTTTTTGGCGTCAAAAGATGTTCAAAGTAATCCTTGTAGACCTGGCAACATGAATCGCTTGAGCTCGTTGGGCCCAGCCCTTGAGCAGATACCCAGCCCGTCTGTATGATATCCTCACCCATGGCGTAGTGGGGCTTAGCAGGGAATAAGGGAACATATTGTACAGGGAGTATATAGGGATTATATTCCCTCATTCCGTACTACCAACCAGTAGGATGGACTAGGGCTGTAAATGATAGGCTGTACCAGGTGAGCGAAAAGGTGTTGGTACTCGAGATGCCGATTATGATCAAGTTTTGCCGCAAGCAAGTTTTTTCTTGTTGCCAGGCACTGTAACTCGCAACTCAAAACACATTGGGGGGACCCCCGGCACTAGATCCCAGTACATCTTAATCCTCAATATAGTCGCCCCCGAAGAGAGACCTCCTGACTTTCGGAAACCTTCAAATTCCCTCAACATCTTGGACCCAGCGCTAAGGAGTGGATTGTGAACATGGAGGCTCGGCGGACACTGCACCCTCATGAACTCAACTGCCAAGTGGCTGTGTTCATGATGTTGCCGGATTAAAAGCAGCATTTGAGCCAAGTCCGCCTCAGAACAGACAGCCAAGTTGTTGCAGGCTAGTGCTCAGTCCCTTTCCCCATGCGGTTGTACAGTACCCCATGCCATCCCAAAAAATTAGAATGACCCAGCTCTGGTAAACGTATAAGCGAGAACTTGCCTTTTCGGGAATTGCGGGATACTGTTGCGAAGCTTCTGGGCTATATAAACAGTCTTTTGGTGCAGGAGCCTCGTGGTGCCTGGTAGGGTTCAACCCCGAACCTCCCTAAACCGCTTAACCTCGCTAATCCTTACAGCTTGAGGCTTTGGTCATGATTCAGTAGTCCAACTTGGGGCTTAGATTCATTTCACAAGGCCATCAGTCCTTTAAGCAAGCGCTGCCGCAGGTTCTTGCGAGTTCTGCAGCTGAAGTTATGGCCTCTTTCTCGCTCTACTCCAGCGCTGAGGCAGGACGCCGATGTTTTAGATGGCTAGAGTTGAGGGCTTAGGATGGGTTAGCTAAAGTTGTACCTGTCTTACATTTTGAGGGCCTTTCGCACGCCTTTTGGGTTTGTGGGGATGGAGTCTCTGTCGATGTGTTTCGGATTGGCAGGTATCAATGCGCTCGTATCAACCAAAACCAGCGAGAAGTGCGATTAATTGCATTGGTAATGGTGAACAGTGTTTTGCTTTTGGGGGACCCTTTTTGGCAAGTGCCTCTGAACTAGGCTCGTAGATGTCAAGTTCTGAACTTCTCAGAACTGGGGTGCCCATATTCTCAAACCCATGGACACCATGCCTGCGCTGAAAACACTACGGGCAAGAGCCGACTCCCCAGAAGCAGGCCCCCAAACCCCTTGAGACCTTTGAGACCTTATTTCTTGGACCTGGAAAGTTGAGGCTTATGCAGTGGAGTCGGCGGGGCCAGATGCCCCACTTGCGGTTGAGGCCTTTGCAACTGCAGGACTTCTCAGCCAGAACAGCCTGTTGCAATGGATGCCCATGAACAAGCCCATCCAGGCACTTCGCGAGCGTCCCCTGCGTCCTTCGCATGCTGCAGCCGCGCGGCGCAGCCTGGGGCCAGCTGAGCACCTCTACGAGGCCCACTGATTTTGTGTCTGCTTGGGTGAAGAAAATCACATGCGGGCTTTTTTGAGTCAGCCTGCTCCGCAATGTCCCACATGCCCATTGAATCAAGATCTGACAACGTCCTCGCACAGTTTGTGGTGCCATGTGAATGTCATATGGTGGATACTAACAACCTGCATGACCCTACGTACCTTATACCTGGGGAATTATACTACTACAGTACAGTAAGGTCATGCAGGATTTTTAGTACACCGTAAGAGCACCTTGGACGTTCAGGCCGAAAGGTGCAGTTTCTAGTGGTTTCAGATGTTCTTGGGGCGATGAGGTGGTCTCTGACAAACCACCTTGAAAACAGATGCCCAGGCTTGCTGGGCTTGCCCTGTGCACTAGGAGATCTGCGGGCCCATTACCTTGGGTTGCAAATTGTCTTCCCGCGCTTCCGGGTGTCGTCTAGAGCTTTGATCATCCTGCCAAAGCGCCCTTACCGAGCTAAACGGCGTGCTAGTTGTCCAAGACTTGCTTCGGGACTTGGCAGTGCGTGTCAAACATCCGAAGCATTTGCGTTCCCAGGCTCGAGCCTTTCTTCCCACAGTGCACATCGTTGTCAGCACGATTCTAGGGTCTGGGGCTGCAGACTGTACGCTGATTTTATCCATCAACCCTGCATCAAGTCTTCTTGCGTGTTGGCCCTGAAGACTATCTTTAAACTTTAAACGTGTCCTTGATCCACGTCTGTCATGAGCCATTTGAGATTGGTCCTCTGGACTAGCACTGAATAGCTTCGCTTCGTGACTGAAATACTTGTTTGACTTTGGCGTGCCTCACTGAAATCAGGTGTTGAGACCTGAGTTTGATTGCAAAGCCTTCACACGTTACCGCCCGGAATTCCAGGCTGTGTGGAGGCATTTGCCGACACAGGCGCGCTCTTTTTAAGCATGAGGAATGCTGTTGCTGAGGATGATACATAGGAAGGAAGCCCAGACAAGAGAAGCCTGGAGTTTTTGGGATGGATCGGGTAGTTCCAATAACATGGCCCAAGCCTCAATCTCGCAGGCCCACGGGATGGGTGCAAGTGAGCCCGCACCCGCAGAGGGGCAGGTGGCTTCTCGGCTAGATTGTGCAGGAATGCAGATTAGGCATTAGTTCACTTGTTTTTTTGGGGTTTGAAAAACATGCAGCTCGGAGTTTTTGTGATTTCGAGATTTGGAGCTGGGGTTTCTGTTCAGAGCTTGGACGCTCTTTGGCGCTGGACATGACTGGGGGAAAGGTTTTATCTTCCAGGGCTTGGGAGACATAGACCTCAGGCCCCGAAACTCAACTCGAGAACGACAAGAGCCCTGACTTTTCCTCACCTTCTGAGCTGCACAGCAGTCTAAAAGAATGGATCTAGCCGCAGGCAGAGAAGGCAAGTATTGTCCGAGGGCCACGGCTCCAGGTCAGGTGCCTGGGCTTCAAAGGAAGCATCAAATCCAGGAACCCTAACTCAGACGACAATTCCTCAACTGCAGCAGGAGAGCCCCTTACTGCCAAGAAATGCACAGATGAATATGAGGTGCCTGAGTAGCAGTATCAAGCCTCCTGGACATGACTGCATGTAGAGTCCCCGGCAGTGTTGCTCAGACCCTTCCACAACCCCGGGCATCCTCCGTGTCGTGTGTAGGAAGGTAGGGACCTACTTGAAGAGCGTTTGCCCATAGGATTCCTAGGATTCCTTGAGACTTAACTGAAGGACCGCAGTTGTACCCTGGACGAACTCGTTGCGGGACGCCTGGGCCTCCAGGATATGGACTTGCAGCCATGGGATTTCATTGTGCACTTTTTCTTGCTGCTTGGATTTTTTGCTCTGAGCCGAAAGCCCTGCACTACCGAACTTTGATCGTGAAACAGAAAACTGCAAACTTCCCGCGAACCCTTCAAAAACAACCTGGAGTCCAAACCCTGAATCCAGAAAACTACCTTGAGGTTCTGTGGACTGTACTTTCATAGACCTTCGGGGTGAGCTGAAGCTGGACTCCGTGCTGAACTCAGAATGTTGACTGCCGTGGTTCTGGCATGAAGAAGTTCAAAATGAGAGCTCCGTGTCTCGGTCCATCCATCAAGACTTCAGCGGGTCAGGGGCTCTGGGTCTGTGGCTCTTGTGCCACTCCTTATCATTATTCTTATTATTATTACTATTATTAGCATTGCTATTATTACTACTATTACTCTTCTTATTACTATTGCTATTATTATTGTGGATGTAACGAAAAACAGAGCACCAGCCTCTTTGGCACCTCAACTCAGAACTTTGATAGAATCTGCTTCGGTCTTGCCTACGTCCTAGGGTGCTCGGGCAATGCAAGCAACGGCAGGTCTCAGACCGCGGATTCTTGAAATGGTTGTGTTGCAATTAGTTGTAACCCTAAAGTACCACTTCTAATGGGTGTACTCGTAACATAAGCAACTGGAAAAATGTCAGCTGGAAGCACAACGGGCACAATCCTAGTGCCGCACCTGCGTCTTCGCACCACCCCCTGGGCCAATACGCGTTTGCATGGCCACAAGCAGCTGCCTGGGAATGGAGCGGCAAAGCTACATGATGTCTGGTGCAAGGCTGCGAACTTCATCAACAATCTGCAAACATCTGGTCATTTATCCGAGGAGGATTCTTCAAGGGCTGCAATTTGTTGACTCCTTCTTTGGGGTCAAAGAGGAGAGTGCGCAAGCCACCAGCCGCCTCCAATGTGACACATCCCGAGGGAACATGCCCAGGGATGCCTCTACAGAGTGATTTGCGGTTTACTTTAGTAGTGGATGTGCAAGCAGTCTCCGCCTGAGGCACCGAACCGCTTGGCGCTCTTGGCTTCAGCAGTGGCCGCATGAGCCTCAGGATTTTGGCTGTAGACACTGGAGCCATTCCAGGTTTCAGATTCTGCAGCCTTGGGGTTTATGCCAAGCGAAAAGGCATCTTGCTTTGTGGAGACTGACAGTTAGGCTTCAAGATTTTGGTGGCACTTGGCTGGTTGCTCTACCAATGTGAGGTTAGTATCTGATGATGCTGCAAAGCAAGCATGGTTGCCAAAGGGGCCTGGGATAGAGACCGTTCCTGGATCATTTGGGGACTCTTCACTTGATGGTCCTCCATGTGCGCCGGCTCCATTGGTCTGGCCTGATCCAACTGCAAAGGGTGCTAGCCTCATTGATTGGATGCATGGCGTGTCTGCTCTCTGCACGAACGGTGTGCATCTGGCTTTCAGGCTCTTGCGGAGCCTGCACGGAGGTGGGGTGGACCTAGATAATTGAATTCCACATCGAAGGTAAAAATTAAGATTGCATTTGAAGAGTCCA